AGATTTGGTTTCAAAGTCATATTTACCAGGATATTGGATTCCGTTTGAAGGAGTCACTAATGGAGGAGGCCAGCTCTTTGGAAAATAATAACCCCTGAAGATTTTCCATCCTGATAGTGAAATCGAGTCGCCCAATGACGGGCTGCCCCCCCAGGATTGCGGCTCCACTTTGCTTGTGTAGGGGGGAGCCAGGGAAAGGAAAGCCGGCAGCAACGCCCTCTCCAAGTCGGCATCCAGGTGGGACAGGAAGGTGTTTGCTGAGCTCCCCAATTTCCTGAACCCACCGAGTGAGACACACGTGTGGTGCAGGCAAAGGGTGGTCCCCCAGACAGTGAGGGGTGCCGGGAGACCCTCCTGACAGCCTGTACACTGCCCGAATAGCCAACGGTGGCCGTTACTTCTCTAGGGCAGCCTGGAAGGCTTTGGGGCTCCGGGAACGCCTGCGTGGTGTAAATATGCGCAGAGGCCCAGAGGGGAGCTTGACGTGGGGCAGGGGCAGGAGGGGGTGCGGTAGGCGGTGGAGGGTTGATCTGTAGCTGATTGAAAGGCCCCTCGTGGGGTCACAAGCAGTCTGGGCCTGGGGAGGGGGTGAAAAAGTAGCTAAACTTATTGACCTCCCCATTTCGCCAAGGTCGTGCCTTCAGGGGAACGTGGCCTTCAGTATGGCTGACTCAGAAGTTACCCTTTACTGCAGAGCTGGAGTCTAATCCCCCTTGTCTCTCCTTACTGCCAGGCCAAACTGTTTGCCCATCCTTCTCAGAGCCGTCTGCTGCCTCCTTTCCCACTTCCCCTGAGGCACGCCTCCTGTGACTCACCATCCAGGCAGCCTCCCTGATTTCACCCCCCAGCCCCAGGACGTCTCCCTACAGTGCAAACCTGTGGGAGGGTGGCGAGGTGCCACAGGAGCATGGGCCCTGGAGTCCCCCGAGGCTGGAATTCCAGCTGTGACGCTGGTGAGCTGGGGCGCTCTCGGAGACTCTGTTTACGGACATCATTCGACCTCACTCTGGAGTTGTGATGAGGACTCGGGGAAGTGTGATATATGTGAGGTGGCCAGCATCCAGCCTGGCACAGAGTAGGAGCTACATTATTTCTCTCCCTTCAGAACGTCGGCGTCTGAGGGTAAGGACTCTGTTCTCTCCTTGGGACCATCCCAAAGTGGCTAAAACAGGACTGTGTGTGCAGGGAGGGTCACCAAGTCCCCCCAGTGGCCAGCACCCAGAGATCTGCATTACCCTCCACGGGACCACCAGGCAAGAGGATAAGACTCAGCCCCCGGGGGCCAGGGCTGCATGACCGTTCCCAGGGGCTCCGAGACGCTGCAGCTTAGGCTGCCACCAACGAGCTGAAGAAGGTGCAGGCTGCCACCCCTCTCACACTACCACCCTCAGGAGCCCCAGCCCTACCCACCTTGCCGGACTCCCACCCAAACCCGCCCTTTGCCGACAGGGGCAACATCAGGAGCAACTTCTACGGGGCACAACTTCCCTCACTCTCTCCCTTCTTCCTCCTCAGCTGACAGCTGTCGTTATCAAGATGGAAAATCCTCAGAGCTGCTTTCCAAAGGATGGGTAACCGAGCAGGAGCACAGCCCAACGGAAAGAACCAGGAGGCGAGGATGGAATCCCGCTCCGCCATTCATTAGCTGAGCAATTCTTTTTTTTTTTTTTAATTTTTTTTTATTCTTATGTTAATCCCCATACATTACATCATTAGTTTTAGATGTAGTGTTCCATGATAGCTGAGCAATTCTTGAGCCAGTCACTTAACTTCTCTGACTCTCCTTTTCCATATCTGTGAACGGAGAATCAAGTAGGAAAAACGTACAGGGCTTTTCATGAGAGGGTAAAGCAAGATAATGTATACAAAAGGGCTTTGTTAACACAAAGGGCTATAAAAATGTGAGGGGCGGTTATCAGGAAGGGCATATTTTATAGGAGACAATAAAAGGCTAACTGATTGTGTCATTTCATTGGCCACATAGTGATTGTAGGTTTCCTATGTGACAGGCAGAGCACTAGGCTGGAGGGAAACAGCAGTGATTCAGAGGGCCTGTTTCTGCGCCGGAAGAGCTTCCACGCTAACTGGGTAGACAGACAGTGCATATGTCCACCCCACATAGCCAGTGCTAGGAGAGGCCAAGCAGGTGGGCTTAGGGAGCTGAGGCAGCTGGGGTTACTACTAGACCGAGCATGGTCAGGGAGCACCTTTCTAGCAAGGGCTACTGCTTGTCCTCAGAGGCCTCCCACAGTAAACTCGCCCTGCTTCTTCTGAGAGAGTTGGATTTTAGCCAATGGATGGCAATGGACCCCCTCTAAGGGTCTTCAGGAACAGGAATCTGCCACACAAGGCATTGTTAAATATTGCTCTGGAAGTCCAAGCCAGTGCAATTAGATAAGGAGAAACATAAGATGCAAATACGGTATATTCGAAAGGCGGGAGCAGATTTCATACAATTTGAAGATGATATGATTATATATCCAAATCAACTGAAAAGCTTTAGAATTGATTTGGGTGGTTTCTTCTTATACAAACAACAGCCAATTAAAGAATATACTGAAAGAAGAGATCCCATTTATAAGAATAAAGATAATGCATCTAAGAGTGAATTGCACAAGAACCATGCAGCATCTGTACGAAAAAAGCTCTAACCCTCCCGTGAGAAATTTTAATAATATTTGAATAAATTAAAAGACATATATTCTTGAATACAAAATCTCAGTGCTGTAAAAAAATTCAGTTTTCCTCATTCAAAGCAGTTCCAGTTAAAGTATCAACATAATTTATCTTGACCACACAAACTTATTCTCAAGTTTCTCTGGAAAAGCAAATATGAGAATAGTCAGGAAAATGATAGGGAAAAAGGAAGATAGACTTCCTCACCAGGTATTTTAAAGTATGTATCATAGGGGCGCCTGGGTGACTCAGTCGGTTAAGCATTTGACTCTTGGTTTCGGCTCAGGTCCTGATCTCATGGGTTCGCAGGATGGAGCTCTGTGCTCAGCAGGAGTCTGCTTGGATGGTCTCTCCCTCTGCCCCTTCCCCTGCTTGCTCCTGCACACTCTCCCAAATAAATAAATAAATCTTTTTTTAAAAAAGTATTTATCATAAATCTGCAATGACGAAAACACTTTGGCACAGTGCATGAACAGACAAATCCACAAAGCAGAACAGAGTCCATATATAAATCCAAACTCATATGGGACTTCGGTAAATGACAAAAATGTGATTCAAATCAGTGATAAAAATTAGATTATTCAACATATGGAATTTATTTAAAGGGGAAGAAATTTAAAGTGGAATTTAAAGGGGATTTAAAGGGGAAGAAAAAAAAAAAACCTAAGCTAGAAACCCACATTATACCTTTCACTAAACTAACTTACAAATGAAGCAAAAAATTTAATGAAAAATATAAATCCTAAATGTTCTAAAAAGATACATAAATGACTTAAAAAAATAATCTTGGGGTAGTGAGCTTCTCTCCAAGCATAACACAAAATGCAAACATCATTTTAAAAAATGACCAAGTTTAAAAAAATTATAAATCTGTATGATTAAAAAATAAATAGCATGGAAAGGTCAAAAGACAAACACGACACATATTTGATATATAAGTTAGAATAGGCTCCTTATTAGGTATTTCGTGTACTAGTTAGAGGGGGCTGGCTACTATTTAAAAAAAGATAAACCGTAAAATTCATAATGGTTCAATTAACCAGTGGTTTCAATTAACAGCACAGAACAGAACGGGTCCCCTCCTCTACATCATCCACAGACTAGGCTGAGAGTCCTTGCCGGCTTTGACCCTTGGGATCATGGAGGATGGCTGGTGAAAAATTCTACCCAGCTGCCAGGAGGGAGAGAGAGAGAGAGAGAGAAAAAGAGAGAGAGAGAGAGAGTGTGTGTGTGTGTGTGTGCGTGTGTGTGTGTGTGTGTGTTCCAGGCTCGCAGCCCATTGGCTAGAGCTCAGTCACGTGGCTCCACCTGCCGTAGTGGAGAACCGCCTGCAAAGTGCCGTCCCTAGCTGGTGACCTCTTCCCAGGGACAACTCCACACAGCAGAGGGGAGAGCACACATTTCTGATGAACAGTCATCCAAACCTTACTGTGAATTTATGTCACACAAAGACAAGCAAAGGGCAAATACTGTTAAATTAGAGTTTCATAAATCTACTTAAAAAGACAAGCGGAGCAAAGGATATGAACACACAGTTCATAGAAAAATAAGTGCAACTACACATTAAACACAGAAAAAAATGCTAAAGCTCACTCTAAATAAATAAATAATAAAATAAAAACAACAGCAAGATAGCACTTTCTATCGATCAGACTACGAAGGATGAAAAAGGTTGGTAACGGTCGCTGAGCAGGTAGGTACGCAATACACACTTTTACATACTACTGGCAGGAGTATAAATTAGTGAGACGATTTTGGAGAAGAATTTGCAATATCAATAAAAGCTTTAAATATATATATCTATCTTTTGTTTAACCCAACAAGTCCACACTAAGAAATGTATCCTCTAGGGGCACTTGGGTGGCTCAGTCATTAAGCGTCTGCCTTCGGCTCAGGTCATGGTCTCAGGGTCCTGGGATGGAGCCCCGCATCGGGCTCCCTGCTCGGCGGGAAGCCTGCTTCTCCCTCTCCCACTCCCCCTGCTTGTGTTCCCTCTCTCGCTGTGTCTCTCTCTGTCAAATAAATAAATAAAATCTTTAAAAAAGTAAAAATAAAAAATAAATAAATTTAGCTTCCTGGGGCACCTGGGTGGCTCAGTCATTAAGTGTCTGCCTTTGGCTCAGGTCATGATCCCAGGGTCCTGGGATCGAGCCCCGCAGCATCAGGCTCCCTACTCAGCGGGAAGCCTGCTTCTCCCTCTCCCACTCCCCCTGCTTGTGTTCCCTCTCTCGCTATGTCTCTGTCAAATAAATAAATGAAATCTTTAAAAAAAAAATGCATCCTGAAGATACACTGGTTAAAGTACAGCAAGGTATATGCGCAAGGAGACTTACTCAAGCATTTTACTTATTAGCAAAGAAGCAAAATGAGCAGATAAAAACTAGAAACAACTTCCATGTCTACCACCAAGAAACATGTAAGTTAAGGCATATGGGACGACTAACTATGCAATGGTCACTATGCAGGATATAAAAAGAATGATGTGGAGCCATTTGCACTAAAATAAAAAGATTTCTAAAAAAAGCCAGAAGAGGCTCACTTCATCAGTCTTTACCTACCAGACTTACCAAATCATGTGATGCTCCCCATCCCTCTGCGAGCCCACCGTGGCATGACCATGGCCCTCTCCAGCATTCCAAGGCCCTTCTCCCACAAGCTGAGTAGCATGCTTAGCAGGAATCGGCTGTGTTTGTTCCCAAACCTACTTATGCCTGCTGTGCCTGGTGTTAATTCGTAACTAAATACTACAAAACACCAAGTAAGTCTGAACACAGAAATGAGAGTCCTTTCCGTGAAAACTAAGGTGAATGCTTTGGAGATGCTCAGTGAAAGTGAATTTCTAAAAAAAACAAAACTCAAAATGATGGCAGAATAGGTGTGAGTGAGACAACTATAAAAGAGGGCAGGAGACAGTAAGAACCTTACCTGGGAGGATTCTACCACCATAGCTCCCCAGATCTCTCTGAGTTTTCATTCTGCAATAAGAACCCTGAAACCGCAAGTTGTAGATCATGCATTAGGGATGTGGTTTTCACTGAAAGGCAACACGGGCCTCCCGGGGCCTGAAGCGCAGGCAAGACAAGAGCCCTGGCCCTACATCAGAAGTCCACCTGCTGATCCCTGCTGAAACGAAGGAGTCAATCGTCCAGTTTGTAGGTGCAGAAATATTATTGCTCTAGTTGCTTGTTTTAAAGAATCTTTGTCTTTTAAAGATGCTCTATGAGCATCAGCTGCCAAAACAAATTATCAGGGACAGGGTGGCTTGCACAACGGAGTTCCTTCCTCATGGCTCAGGAGACTGGAAGTCGAAGCTCAAGGTGCCAGCAAGGTCGGCGTCTGGTGAGTGCTCTCTCCTTGGGTTACAGATGGCCACCCTCTTCATGATGTCCTCACATGGCCTTTCCTCGGTGGATGTGGGTGAAGAGAGTGAGCAAGCTCTCTGGTGTCTCTTCCCACAAGGGCACTGATCCCATCATGAGGACCCCACCCTCATGACCTCATCTGACCCGAATTACCTCCCAAATGCTCCATCTCCAAAAACCATCACTTCGGGGTCTGGGTCTTCAACATAAAAATTTTGGAGGGACACAGTTCAGTCCATACTAGATGCACACTGAAATATCAGGGATTAGGCAAAATTGCATTTGGTTCTGCTTCAAAGTAATAGCACGCTGGGAAGACAGATATAGATAAAATAAGCTTGGCCATGATTCAATAATATTAGAAGCTGGATTATGGGCACAAGAGGGTTCATTATACTCTTCTGCCTATTTTGTATATATTTAGAATTTTCCATAATAAATTTTTAAAAAAGCCAGATGATTATATGTTCATGTTTGTAAATTAGAATAAAATATTTAAAGTATGTGTATAAAATTTTTATAATGATTGTCTTAACGTGCTCTTTAACTAGGAGTGATAACACCAGATAAGAGAGAGGGCTTCAGCTATATCGTTAGAGGAAAAAGAAAAAGGTATAGATCCAGTATTATTACATTACACTTAAATATGCTGGCATCTGCTGCATGTTTAAATTTTGTCCCAAAACTCAGATAGAAGAAACATTACTTTTTTGGTGTGCTTTTCTGAAACCAAACTTAATCTGTTCTAGTCCTTATTTGGCAAAGGTAATAAAAATGTTAATCTCAGGCATTCTGGGACTTCTCCTCATCCCATCTAGGGAAGACAATGATCCTTCTGATGGTTCCTGTATCCTCAAGGTGGTGATGAGACACCGCAACACAAGGCTCTTAAAGCCACAGACCCCACTCCCTTACCCTGGTGCCTGAGGTCCCAGTGTCCTTCCTCAATTCCGGCTCCCATACAGCAAGCCCCCACCACCCATATGTCCCATCCCCAGCCTTCGCACAGGGCAAACGCAGGGGGTGCACCGAGCCCCGAGGGGTTCTTGCCCAGCCCCCGCACAGGTATCCCCAGAGCTCGTGCTCTCTGCACAGAGAGAGGCGGCCCAGGAAAGGGGCGGTCAGGCCCCTCAGGGGCTACCTAGGGGAAGCCTTTCTACCCCCTACTGTCTCTCTCAGTTACTCTTGCTTTTAAGCCAAACTGTGTTTTATCATGGGCAGTTTAGAAAAGTCCTTTTCAGCTTCATGACCTATTATTGGTAATTCTTCAGAATTGTTACCAAATGTGGGGAAACTTCTATCAAGGTTCTTTCATATACATTAACCGGAAAATGTCACGACATTTCAAGTCTTCTGAAGTGTACAAGTCAGGGGTTTTTATGAGGCTCCCAATTACCTTCTGGAATGCAGCTGCTGGAGCTTCCAGACCTGTGGTTTCTGAGTCATCAGTTAAAATGTTGATTTCTTAGAAGAGGTTGCAAGGCCATCATCTTTCTTGGAAGTAGACGTTGGTTTGCAGCTGGGGAGAGAAAAGAGAGCTAACAATTACCAAACACCTACTGTGTGCCATACTGTGGACTCGAGATCCTTTTCAGCACATACATTTTATCCTCTCTGTGCTGCTGGGAGGTAGGTATTCTTGTCCACTTACTTTTATGGGTAGGAAAGGGCACCACTCAGTTGCATGTGGTGGGGCTGGGATTGGAACCTGACACCTTGTGGCTGTGGGCCCCAGGACCACAGACAGTCCGCAACTCATGAAGTGGGAGCTTTTGCCCCCTGCTGGGCTGAGCACTAGACCCCTGAGCACCTGTCTGGGGTCCCTGGGCCCACGCATGTTTTTTTCCCTTCTGTTTAGAAAGTTCCTGTCATTTGCTCTGCTTTAAGCAGCCATCAGGATCATCTGACTGTGGGCAATCACTGATTTTAGGAATGTTGAAGAATTAAAAATAATGCACACAAAAAGTCCTGCTCACAGTGCCAGGCCTGTAGTAGGTCTTCACTACGTTATGGCCAATACCGTGATGGTCATTATTCCCTTTTCCCACTCCCCTTCCTTTCCCTCCTGCCTTTCCTTCCAGCAAAGGTTAACTGGCTCCTCCCTGCCTCCTGGCTTTCCAATTTGGGCTGCTAATGAGCAGCTGTTCCTGGAGATCAGAGGGAGTGTGGGGGAGAGGAGACGCGGGGACTCCTGCAAGGGCTCCCTCTCCCTCTAGGGGAGGCGTCTGCAGACCTAGGCCACCTGGTGCCATGGAAAGAATACCTCTGCTGACGTGCACAGCTGGAGGCCTGGCCTGGCTCTCTGGCTCTCCCATTTCGTGGCTATAAATACTGGCTTACTGAGTCACCTTCCCTTGCTGGGCCTCAGTTTCCTGCCTATAAAAGGAGAGGGTTGAACTAGGATGGGTTCACGCTCCTCGTCAGCGCTTTCATTCAGCATTCCCTGAGCGCCTACTGTGTGCCCAGCGCAGGCCCAGGCAGTGGCCCGTGAACAAGATTCAGCCGGCCCTACCTGCCTGCCGCTTAACAGAAAGCTCTTGCAGCCTAAGCTCTTGGAGTCTGAGGGTCCTCGACGTGTTTCTCCATCCCCAGACTCCTGCTCAGAGGCACTTCTCGCATCTGTTTTTAAATGACAGAACCAAAGGTGTTGAGAGCAGCCTTTGATGGACCACCCGCCCTTTACAGGGAGAAACCCAGCAGACACTCACCCCACCAGGGAGAAAATGTGAGCAAACCCCAGTGAGTCCCCCAGCTCCCCGCCCCTCCTCTCCCCTGCAGCTTCCAGGAGGCTCTCTGCCCTGCCTGGGTGACTGAGCAGACAAGGCACAGGAAGTAAGATTCCTGACGCTTAGCCCCTTGCCCCAGCCACGAGGGCACTCAGCGGCTGCCAGGAATGAGTACGGGTTTCCCACAGAGACACCTAGGAGAACGGCAGCAAGAGGGTTGGAAGGAGCATTATTCTGGGAGGGGAGGGTCAGCTTCCAGGGCATGAGGTCATGGGCCACACAGGCTGAGGTGGTGGAATGTGTCCTGAAGGACTTTCTTGCCTTTACTCTGGTGGCCTGGCTGGCTTGCCACCAACCCAAACATCCCAGGCCCACACCAATGAAAAGAAACTGTGGCAGCCAGTCCTCAAAGCCCAGGAAGCCAGTTCATGCCAAATTCCTATCTGCTTCCTGCCCACTGCGAGGGGCCACAGCACAGTGGTGAAGCACACAGGTGCTGTGGCCACATGCCTGGCTTCAAGTTCTGGCTTTCTCACCTACTCACAGTGTGATCCTGGGCGAGCTACTTAACCTCTCTGTGCCTCAGTTGTCTTGCCTGTAAAGTGAAAATGATAATAACTTCTACCCTATAGGGTTGTTGTGAGGATTAATGGATTCTTACATTTTGTGTGTGTGTGTGTGTGTGTGTGTGTGTCCATCATTCCATTAAATCTTCATATACATAATCTTCATATACATTATGGACATAACCCTTGTACATCTTATATGTGATCTTCATGTACATTATATACATAGCCTTCATCCACATTATGTAACCCTCATATATATGATGTACATAATCCTCATGTTTTTATACATAATCTTCATATATATTATGTATATAATCCTCATATATATTATATATAATCTTCATACATATTATACATAATCTTCATATATATTATGTACATAATCCTCGTCTATATTATACACATCTTCATAATATACTTTAGAACAGTGACTGGCACATAGTCAATGCATCACATAACTGCTGTGTTGCTAGTATTACTAGCATTCCTTCATTGTATACAGCAGGTAAAGCTTACAAATTCCCTTCACATTCATTGTCTCAAATACAAATTTGTACACTTTATTCTTTTGGCTACTAGAATGTAAGCCTCACGAGAGCAGGGAATTCTTTTTTTTTTTTTAAAGATTTTATTTATTTATTTGAGAGACAGAATGAGAGAGAGAGAGCATGAGAGGGGGGAGGGTCAGAGGGAGAAGCAGACTCCCCGCTGAGCAGGGAGCCCG